TCTTCTAGAAAGTCCGTACTCCCTAAAACAACAGCTTCTCTTAAAGAACAAAAAACAAAATAAACAAAGCAGTTTCAATCAGGTTATTTATAATAAGCATTATTAAATACTTGCTTATTTCCAGGTATATTACAATAAATAAATCAGGGCTAATATATTCAGATTAAGGGAAATGAGATACTTAGTAATTTCAATGATTTTAGTTTCCATTTTGCTTTATGAAACATGTTTGTTATTAGAGAACCAGATTTAAGGTAAAAATAACCTTGCTAAATATTCATAGCAAAGAGCTGGCCATATTTTCACTAAAGAAAAAATTCCTGGTATTAACCACCCTTGTGTTTGCATTGAGACAAGCCATGAAACTTGACTAAATTTTAAAATATATTATTCAAAGCATCAAATAAAAACACTGCAATATACTTCCTGGAAAATGTAACAGATATTACTCAATAAAAGGTAAAATTTTAGATATAAACTAGTTGTAAAAGACAGCTACAAATTATTAGAAAATCATTTTATCAAGCACAAACGGAGACTGAGGGGCATCAGTGCTGAGTTAGGAGCTGTGCAAGTTACAGAGATCCTGAACAAAAAGCATAAACAGGTTATTTCACACATTATTTGATTTCCCATCCTTATATAACAATTTAATTCAATTTTAAAATTTTAACTTTTTAGATTTTTTTAATCTAAAAATTCTTTATGCCCACAAAACAAACTCTGACATCCACAACAGTGTGACAAAAATTACTCTCCCTACTTACTTAAATTTAAATGTTTCTCCTAGTTCAGAAGCATTTCCTGGGGAAATTTCAAATATTCCAGAAAAAGGGTAAGGATGGCCACCATAAGCAAATTCTGAAAAGATAAAAGTAAAAATTTTTAGAATATAATAAAATATAATCAGAATGCTGAATCAGCTTTAAAATACTACAAAGATAATGTTATCTGAATATTTTTCTAAAGTGCCCTTTGCAAGGTCCTGTTTGGGTATTACCAGTACAGAATACCTGTCTTTTTATTTTTGGTTTTTTGAGTCATGGTTTTTCTGTAGCTGTAGAGACTATCCTGGAACTAGCTCTTGTAGACCAGCTTGGCCTTGAACTTACAAAGATCTCTGCCTCCTGTGCTGGGATTAAAGGAGTTTGCCACCACTGCCCGGAGGTGAGAATACCTGTCTTTAAAGGCTCTGAAATGGTAACAGTTACAGACACTCCAAAATGCCTGTGACTGCTCTGTAGACTGCTCTACATGTACTCCAGGAGGAGAGTGACCAGTTTTTAAAAGTGCTCAGTCTCTGTGGCACCATCACACCATGAGGCCAGCAGCTCAGGACTTGGCCCCTTTTCAAGCTTGCATGTCACTGGAGAAACTGTCTAGTGAGAATGAAGTCTTCACAGTTCCTGAGGAGAGCTGTCCTGTTTTGGTGTACTTTGTCATCATGCTGCATGCATCCACTCATACCTGAAGACTCTTCATTTACACTGGATTAGGAGTGAAAACACCACTGCACCACGCATAGGGGTATATGTCTATAATCTTAGCACGCAGGACGCAGATGGATCATGAGTTTTAGGCTAGACTGGGCTATTCCTGGTGAATTCCAGGCAAGTCTGAACTATATATAGAGACCCTAGTTGAGAAAAAAACATCAAAGCTGAAGCACAGTAAAATACCAACATTAAATACACAACTATCTTTATATTCTTCACAGCAAGTCTTGTAGTTAGAAGGGCACTATTTGTACGTTCTCCTAAGACATGTATTTCCAGCTATATGTTCTTATCTACAACAAAAATGCAGATAGCTTCAGGACAGGAAAGAACCAGAACTTCTGGCTTCAATTCTGGCATCTCATATTAAGTGGTAAAGTCTTTCTTTCTTTCTTTCTTTCTTTCTTTCTTTCTTTCTTTCTTTCTTTCTTTCTTTCTTTCTTTCTTTCTTT